TTGGCAGCTGTCCAAAGGATGGATTGGAGAGAGGGAGAGATTGGAGGCAGGAGTACTAGTAAGGAGGCTATTAAACTCATCCAAGACAGAAGTAATGATTGTCTAAATGAGGATGGCCTCAGCAACTGGAGTAGAGGAGAGAGGGGATACAAGAGGATAGGGGTAAGAGATGTTACAGAGCTATAAAATACACCTGCAGGACTTGGGAAATGACTGACTATGATGGTAAGGGAGAGGGAAGAGTGAAATAATAACTGAAGTTTTTAGTTTGGGCAATTGGGAGAATAGTAGATATTCAATGACTTAGTTTAAAGACACAATGAATGTTAGAGCAGGGTTAGCTGTCATCTGATACAACCCCATCATTTTACTGATGATTAAACTTGAGACCCACTGAGAAGTAACTTGCCCAATGTCTCAGAGTGGTAGTTCTGGGATCATATCACCATCAAAGAAAGGTGTGTGTCCTTGGCATTGTGTTCTGTATCCTCTTCCAACTCTTCCTGTTGGGATACCACAGACCCCACCTCATTTTTATTTCTGTAGACAGTGGATCTCCAGGGCGGGAAATGCTTGTAATGCTGGAGTGTTTGAAGACAGTGGCAAGGTGGGTTCAATTTGAGGGCAGATGGGTGGGCTAGGAGGAGGTGGGGGGCTCACGCTGGGTCCAGATGACTGTCTCTCTCCTTGGAATTGGCACTGGTCCGTTGTTGGGGCCAACTCCAAATCTGAGAGCTGGGGCTTCCTTGGACAAAGAAGCCAGGGAGGGGAATGAGCCTCCCTTGCACAAATGGGGCCTGGGGCTGGGAGTGTTTGTTGAGAGGGCTGCTGCTGCCTGCTGTTGGCCGCTCCAGAGCTGCTGGCTCTGTCCCCAGCTCCAGTGACACTGAAGGTAAACAGCTCTTGTCAGAGTCGATTTCACGTTGATATTTTTATCACATATCAGGGCCTGGCACCATGGCAAGGAATGTCAGAAGCAGAATGTTAAATAATTTCTCTAAATAATGTACGCTTTCCGGGCTGACTGGAGGGAGGAGGAGCAGAGGGAGAGAGATGTTATTTTTGGCTTTGTTTTCAGTGTATGTGTATGTGCAAGATGCATTTGGCTTCTGAATTCCCCGGAGTTTTCCTACTGACAGTTGCACACAGGCTTTCTCCTGTAGATGAGTGGTGCTGACCATAGGAGAGGGAAGAGGAGGAGAAGCCCTGCTGGGAGACCCAGAGAGGGAGAGATGAAGGCAGGGAGGACAGCTGGAGGCAGAGGGAGGGATGGAGGGTGGGAGAGAGAGAGAGAGAGAGAGAGAGAGAGAGAGAGAGAGAGAGAGAGAGAGAGAGAGAGAGAGAGAGAGAGAGAGAGAGAGAGAGAGAGAGAGAGAGAGAGAGAGAGAGACAGAGACAGAGAGAGAGACAGAGAGACAGAGACAGAGAGACAGAGACAGAGAGAAGAGAGAGATGAGAGAGAGAGAGACAGAGAGACAGAGACAGAGAGACAGAGACAGAGAGAAGAGAGAGATGAGAGAGAGATAGAGAGAGAGAGAGAGAGAGAGAGAGAGAGAGAGAGAGAGAGAGAGAGACAGAGACAGACAGAAACAGCCAGAGCCAGAGACAAAGACAGAGTTCAGGAAGGGTGGGAAGAGACAGGGAGGGCAGAAAGAGATACAGATAGGTGAAGGGCAAGGAGAGAGGCAGAGGGAGAACAAAGAGAGACACACAGAAAGACACACAGAGAGACAGAGAGGAGAGACAGAGACAGAGAGACAGACACAGAGAGAGAGAGGAGAGAGAGATAGAAACACAGACAGAGAAAGAGAGAGAGAGAAGAGAGAGACCACGGGGGGGGAGAGAGAAGAGAGAGAGAGGAGAGAGAGAGAAAGAAAGAGACAGAGAGAGAGAGAAAGAGACCACGGGGGGGGGAGAGAGAAGAGAGAGAGAGGAGAGAGAAAGAGACAGAGACAGAGAGAAAGAGAAAGAGAGAGAGAGAGAGAGAGAGAGAGAGAGAGAGAGAGAGAGAGAGAGAGAGCGCGAGCAGGGAGAAACAGACAAAAAAAGTGTGCTAATGGTAAAGGGGTGGGCATCAAGTGGAGAGAAAGGAATATATAGAGATGAAAGGAGTGTAGAAAGATATACAAAGAGGTGAGGGATAAGGAGAGAGGCAGAGGGAGAGAAGGGAGAGACAGAGAAAGTGTTTATGAGGTGGAGCAGAGGAAACTGAAGAGTTGGGGAGAGATAGAGGGAAAGGGAGAAAGAGACAGAGACAAAAAAGGAGAGAACAGATTTGGGGGAGGGGGATGCTGTTGCTGGAAGAGACAGAGATGGAATGTGTGTATGGAGAGGTGAGGAAACGAGATGATGGTGGAGCCAGAAAAAGAGAGAGATGAAAGAGAAAGAGAGAGAAAAGGAGAGAGGGACTCTATGCATGGAGTGGGGTGGGGAGAATGTAACAGGGAAGTCAAGGAGGGAAGGAGAGAGGGCGAGGAGAGAGACTGAGGAAGAGATAGAGCAAGAGTGAGTATCGGGGGAAGGAGCAGTGGAGCCAGGGAGAGACAGGGGGCACAGAGAAAGAGACATAGAGGGAAGGCAGGGAGAGAGAAGGAGGCATGGAATTAGAAAGAGGACAAAGAGACAGAAACAGAGAGAGGCCTGGGAAAGAAAGAGAAAGAGAAAGGGAGAAAGCAGATGGGGGCAGAGAAAAGAGAGAAGGCAAAGAAGGGGTATGGGTGGAACAAGAAAAGGTAAAGGTTGTAAAGGGCAGAAAGAGGCACAGATAGTAGAAGATAGAATATAGGCAGAACTTGAGGAGAGGGCTTGTTTTTTGTTTTTCCTTAAATGAGTCTAACCTGTATGTTGGGTTAACTTATTCTGATATTTTAGATCATGGCAACATTGTGCCCCTCACATTGCTTTATTTCCCTTTGCCTGGGAGAGGAAGATGTCTAGTCAGCTAATATATCACAAGTGATATGAGGGGAGGAGCCAGAACCCGCAATCTCACCCGTGATTGTAGATGGTCTAACAAGTTCTGTCCTGAAGCCCAGGATTCTAGAATCCTGGAAGGGGTGCTGGTGAAGAGTGGGGAGAGATTACTTATTCCCTTTGGGATCCGAGTTACAGATTAATTCAGACAGTGTAGGTGCCATTTGGTCTGGGATTGGGTCAATTTTTAAAATCTGCACTTTGAATGACCTTGCCCTAGTGTATTAGCCATGGGTTTGTATAGTCTTTTTATCTGTTTAAAAAAAGACCCAAACCTAAAGAATGCACTCTGGTCTGGAAATATGGTGATAGGGGTAGAAGGAAATAACAAAAATGAGTAGCGAAAACAGGTGCTAGGATATTTGGCAATGCCAGAAGATGGGAGATCGTTAACTAGGGACCCAGTCAAGTGAGGCTGACCTTTGAAGCCAAGTAGGGACCCAGAAAGTCAAAGGGAATAATATCTTGATATGGAAGTTAAGTGATTAGAGAAACTTTAGAAAATGGTTAAAGGTGGAAGCCCTGGGGGAAAAGACAACAGTTTTTCAGTTGGATTATAAGAGGTGACAAGAAAGAAGTACAGAAGAGAGCTAATGCCATCAGTATCCAATAAATACGTATTGAACTGAATTGAGAGCAGGCAGAGATGGAGAAGGAAGAAGGGAATGAGAGAATGAAAAAGACACAACCAGAATCAGAGTAGCGCAGAAAGTGATGGAAGGAATGGGAAGAAGAGGGAGGCACAGATGGAGAGAAACAAGGAGAAAGAGAGGCAGAGGATGAGAGAAAGATTGGGAGAAAGAACACAGATCAGGAGAGGTGGGGATAAATTTAAAGGAGGAGGAATTGGAGAGAATGAGAGATGGAGAAGCCAGATGAGTAATAAAAATAAAGAGGCCAAAAAAGAAAGAGGAGGAGAAGGAGAAAGGGAGAGGCAGGCTTTAGGGAAGGGGATTCAGTAGCAGAGGGAAAGAGAGGAGAAGAAGAAGAGTGTACAGTGACGGAATTCTTGTACTCAAATGAGTGAAAATCATGCCTTTTGTTGGATTTTCTCGCTGCTGTTCAGCGACTTCCTGAAGAAGTTGTTCAGAGCCTTGGGCTTAGAATGAGAAAACCTGAGCGTGAGACTACATTTACTGGTGGCGTAACCGTGGATGAGTCACTTAACTTCCTCAGGCTTTGGCATCTTTATCTGAAGAATGGGCATACCTACCTTACTAGTCTGTTGTAAGGATCACATGAAATGCTTTGTAGATGCGAGTGCCATATACATGTAAGGTATTGGACAAAAAAAATAAACCTTTTAATTTTTGTATTTTGTTTTTTACATGATAGGATTATAGATTTAGAGATACATGGGACCTTAGAGGTCATGGAGTTCAGGCCTCTTATTTTACATCTGAATGTCAGAGAAGGGATATGACTTACTCATAACACAGGGTATTAAATGGAAGAGCTGAGATTTGAACCCAGATCCTTGGACTCCAAATCCTTTACTCTTTCTACTATCCTACTTTGCTTGCCCGCATTCTCCATATACCAGGATACCATATTCTCTCTATACCAGGGGGCATTCCTTGTAACAAAGAATTAAAAAAAAAAGAAAGAGGAAAAAGGCAGCTAGGTAAAATGAACATTATCAACTGAGTCTTCCAGCCTAGATCGTGAGGACTGATTTTTCAGGGTTTGAGATCGTCTAGTGATATGGCTCCCAGCTCTGGAGCTGGAAGGGACCTCTGAGGCCATCTGGGTCAACTTTCTCACTTTATAGGTGCAGAACTAGAGGCTGGGGGAAGTTGGTGCCTGTGTAAGTTGGCACAAGTAGGAAGAGTCAAAGGCATGTGTTGAATACAGACCATCTGACTTGAGAGCCAGCAATTTCCCCCTTAGACTAAGTAGAGGAGGGTGTCTGGTGGAAATCCTTTGATGAACAAAACTAGGATTTTCCTGCTTTTACTAGCTAGTTGATACTTAAAGAACCTACTTCATCTCCCCTCTTTCTGTCCTTTCTTCTTTTTCCTAGGCGCCCCAGGAAAAGAAGTCTGAGATCTGAGAGCATCGGGAGTACCAATTCATTATCTCCATTATCTCGCTAGATCCTCTTAAGAACCCAGTGAGATGAGAGTAGGTATTATCATCCTTGTTTTACAAATGAAAAAATTGAGATCTTACAGAGGCTAAGTGAATTCTCTGAAGGTCACACAACAAGGCAGGAACAGGGGTGGGACTAAGGCCCCCTGCTTGGTTCTTGGATGGTACTACCACCGTCTTGGAGAAGAGCCCCTCAGCATTGCTCTGCACTGGAGGAGCAGCTATCAGGCACCAGAAACAGAAACCCTAATCAACTAATCAATCAGTCAAACCCACAAGCATTTATTAAGCATATGCTGTTAACTCCATTGCAACACGCCTAACAAGTGGTCATCCAGATGTTACGTGAAGACTTCTGGTGAGAGAGAACCCTTGCTGGAGCCCATCTAAGATTTTTCCAGGCTAGTGCAGTCTGACCTGACTCACATGGACCTGTACGTGTCCAGAAAAAGCACCATGGGCCAGAGGGAATCTTTGTGCTTAGGAAGCAGCTGAAGAAAGAGCATTGGCTCTTCAGAGGACCTGAGTTCAAATCCCACTTTTGACATTTGCTACCTGTATGGTCATGGCCAAGTCACTTTATCTCCCATAGTCTCAGTTTCCTCATCTGTCAAACGAGGGGTGTGTGGACTTGTTGGCCTTTGAAGTCTCAGCTCTGGATCTGTGAGTGACCTTTTAGGTCTCTTCCAGTTCTAAGGTTCTAGGCAAACCACATGTATATGGGCACATGTTCTTTTGAGACTAAAGAGTTGAGTCTGACCAGAGACAGAGAAAGGGCCAGATTACCTGTGGTGAGTAAGGTTTTAGAGGACTCCAAGCTCAATACAAGTCAACAGTGTGACATGATAGACTGAAAAAACCAATGTGAACATTTATTGTTCAGTTGCATCTGGCTCTTCAAGATTCAGTTTGGGGTTTTCTTGGCAAAGATGGTGGAGTGGTTTGCCATTTCCTTCTCCAGCTCATTTTACAGATGAGGAAATTGAGACAAACAAGATTAAGTGACTTGACCAGGGTAATGCAGCTAGTAAGTTTCTGAGGCTGGATTTGAACTCATGAAGATGAGTTTTTCTGACTCCAGGCCAGGTACTCTATCTATTGTGCCACCTCGTTGCCCAATGTAAACACATTTTGCGTTACTTCAGACTTAGTGTCCAGAGGGAGGGAAGTGATTTCCTGTGGTCAGACCACATGTGGAATATTGTGTTCAGTTCTGTACCCCACATTTTAAGAAGGAGGCTAGTGAGCTGGACAGTGTCAAGGGGAGGTCAGCAAGGATTAAGAGGACTTGAAACCACGGCATAGGAGTTTTGGCTGAAGGAATTTGGGATTTTTAGCTGCAAGAAGAAAGACTGGGAGATGGGGGTGGGGTGGGACGTGCTTGACTGGAATCTCTAACTTGTTTTGCTTCACTCCAAGAGGCAGAACTAAGTAAAAGGAATGGGTGGAAGAGGGAGGGAGGGAGGGAGAGAGAGACAGAGAGAGACAGAGATAGGGAGAGAGAGACACACATACACAGAGACAGAAAGAGACAGAGAGATAGAGAGAGACAGACAGAGACAGAGAGAGAGACTGAGAGACACAGAGAGAGATAGAGATAGAGACAGAGAGTGAGACAGAAAAAGAGACAGAGAGAGATAGATAGAGATCCTAATAATTTGAGTTTCCCAGATGTAGACTGCACTGGTCTGGGGGGAAGCAGTGGTTTTAAGTAAGAACTGGATGTAAAGTAGAGGAAATTTCTTTGTAGGTAGAGTATGGACTATATAACCTTTGAGGTCCTTCTGCATCTGAGTTTCTATAATTCTGTGCAAAGAGTGGCTCATAGTCAATGTATTGATTGGTCAGATCAGAGGCTGGTGTGTGTGTGTGTGTGTGTGTGTGTGTGTGTGTGTGTGTGTGATGGTGCTCAGGCATGGAGCTGTAGATGGGCAGGGAGTACTACTTTCTACCTTGGGGAGAGGGGTTCTGAGATCAGCTCCTGTGACAGGGTGTGAATGACAGGAGATGGGCCCCCTGCCTGGAAAATCATTTCCTGGGAGACCCTATTGGGAGGACTTTGCCTAGAGGCAGTTTGCTGCCAGACTGTACCACCCTGGTATCATCCCCACTTTCTGCATCCTTGTCCCTCACCCTCCAAGCTCAGCAGCTGGAGGGAGGAAAGGCCCTTGCTGGGCCCCCTGGTACTTTAAATGTTTAGGTTTCTGTCACCTTGACTGCTTCATGCCCCCTGGGCACCTGTGCCTATTATCCAGCTCTGTTCACTCTTTGGGGCTTGTACCTGGCTTGTCAATGAGACTGTGCCCAGGGCCTAAATGAAATCCAGCAGTCTGACTAAAGACAAGTCAGTCAGTCAGGGACAAACTAATTCAATCTTAAGTTTGTATATTGTTTTGCAGTTGGTAAAAACCTTTCAGTAACTTTCTTTTGGACCTTTCAATAGCTTGGTGAGATAGCTAAAACATGTATTATTTCCTTTTTTTTTTTTTTTGCAGATTAGGAAACTGAGACTCAGAGAGATTTAGCGACCTTCTCAATATTATACAAGTAGTACAGGGTAGCTGCATCTAAGTCTTTTGAGGCCAGGTTCCCAGGGAAAAGACTTAAAGTAGCAATACTCAAGATAGTTCCTGAAGTGCCCCAGGAGGATGCCCTGGAACCTTTGAGCTTTTCGGTAAAGTGCTGGTGGGTGATTATCCTTGCCAGGGGAATGGAAGGAAGAGGAAGGAATAAGCATTTATGGAGTGCCCACTCTGTGCCAGGCACTGTGCTAAGCACTTTACACATATCCCATTTGATCCCCACAACAACCCTGTGGGGTAGGTGCTGTTATCCCCATTTTACAGTAAGGGAAACTGAGGGAAACAGAAGTTAAATGTCTTGCCCAGGGTCACACAGCTAGTCAATGTCTGCAGTCACATTTGAACTCAGGTTTCTCTGACTCTAAACCCAGCTTCTATCTATTGGGCTACCAGGGTTCTCTCTTAACTGCTGCCTTCCAGGACCTAGGACTACATCCAGCTTTTAAATTGGCTGCTTAGAGTTAGGAGTTTAAGGCAAATTGCTCATGGCACCAAATGCTCTTGGATACAGAGGCAGTTTTGTCAGGCAGGGGGGCACTTCTGTCAATCTGTCAACCTGAGTGAATAAGAGGAAGAGGGAGGGGTCTCTGAGCAAGAGATAGAAGAGTCTGTGCATTTTGGGTTGGGAGAAAATCTGTTCAGTCATTCAATCTATCAGTCAGTTGGTTATCCACCTAATCATTTGTCCATCCATCCATCCATCCATCCATCCATCCATCCATCCATCCATCCATCTATCCATCCACCCATCCATCCATCAAGAGAATCAGCCACTAACATGGCTATTATAAAGGATCCAGACCTGGACCTTAGTTCTTAATGCAACTTCATAACTTGCCTTTGGTCCTACCTAGGTCTTTTCCCTTCATTACTTTATAGTCAAGTCAAGTCAACAAACAATTATTAAGCAACCACTATGTACCAGGCACTGGGGGTACAAGAAAGCCAAAAGGCAGTTTCTGCTTTCAAGGAGTTCACAGTTTAATCAGGGAGACAACCTGTGGATAACTATGTACAAAAAAAATATATACAGGATTAATTGCAGATGATCACAGAGGGAAAGCATTGGCATAAGGGGATTGGGAAGGGCTTTTTGTAGAAGATGAGATTTTAGCTGGGACTTAAAGGAAGCCAGGGAAGCCAAGATTTGGAGGTGAGGAGGAGAGAATTCCAGGCACAGGGGAAAGCCAGTTAAAATGTTCAGAATCACAAATTAGATGAGGGAGAATTAGAAACAATGAAACTCAGTAACCTAGAGTTTGATAAACCAGAAAACATAAATTACTTAGAAAAGACCTCTCTTTTGGTAAAAACTAAAAAGTAGTCTGAGAGAAATTAGGCTCAGCCCACCACATTACTCCATATTTCACAATACATTCTAAATAGATATGTGACTTTAATATTAAAGATTATACTATAAAAATTTAGAGCAGAAGCAGATTATATGCCTTTTGCAGCTATGGGCAGAATATATACGCTTAACCAAAGAAAGTGTAGAGGTAATTACAGAATGTAAAACAGATAACTTTGATAATATGAAACTACAAAGCTTCTGCAGAAACAAACTGAATGCACCATAGATAAGAAGAAAAGTGATAGAATGGGAAAAAAAAGTCTTTGTAACAGATTTCTCTGATTAGCGTTTGGTATCTAAGATATATAAACAATTAACACATACATAAGACCAAAATCTGTTCCCTAAGGTAAACATGAACAAACAGTTCTCAAAAGAAGAATTGCAAACTATTAACAACCATAGGAAAGAATGCTCCAGATCACTAATAATAAGAGAAACACAAATTAAAACAATGTTAAGGTTTCCTCTCACACCTAGCAAACAGACAAAGATGACCAAAGTTGGGGGACAGTCAGTACTGGTGAGGTAGTAGAATGACAGGAACACTACTACATGTTGGTTGAGTTATAAATCAATACAACCATTTAGTAAAGGAACTTAGAATTAAATGGGCTAAACTGAACTAAACTGTCTATGCCCTTTGGTCCAGAGATTCTATTATTAGGCTAATATCCCCAGTAGACCATTGATAAGAAGTTTTCATATACAACAAATATTTATAGCAGCACTTTTTGTGATAGTAAAGACCTGGAAACAAACTAAATAGATTAGGGAATATCTAATCAAATTGTGGCAGATGAATGTAATGGGATGTTTCTATACTATAATAAATGATGACTGTGATGAATATAGAGAAGCATGGAAAGATCGACATAGGGGCAGCTAGGTGGCACAGTGGATAGAGCACTAGCCCTGGAGTTGGGAGGACTTCAAATCTGGCCTCAGACACTTGACACTTACTAGCTGTGTGACCCTGGGCAAGTCACTTAATCCCATTGCCTAGCGGAAAAAAAAAAGGAAAGATCGATATGAACTGATATAGATTGTAGTAAGCAGAGCCAAGAAAACAATATACCCCATGACTACAATAATGT